TGGGCTTGTAGAGAGAAAATGAATGCCCCAGTGTTTTAAAGGAACTTTGGGTGACTGTCCAGGCAGTCATATGTCTCTGTCATTTTTAGAGTTTTTGGAAGTAATTTGCAATGCGATTTTTGTTTATTTAAATAATATTATATCCTTCTGGAGTCTTTGATGGAGTTGAAAACCTCATATAGTTGCAGTGTTCCTTAGATATGATAGAAAGTAGGTTAGGTATAAAACTTTGGATTCACTGAGATAGGATAGATAGTGCATTATTTTCTCTGAATTTGCTGAATTGCAAATGGACAGAATATTGTAAATTAATTCTTATTTGATAACTATTTTTGTTGTATATAGTTCTACTATTTTATAGCTAAAACCTTTTTTTGTTTAGACAAAAACGGGTAAATGTTGGGGAGTATTTTTAAGGTGTATGACTTGTTTATGCTGCGTTAAACCGTGAAGCTGTGATTCTTTGCCTGTCTAAAACACCTGATGGTCTAATAAAGAGCTGAATGCCAACAGCAAGGCAGGCGCAAGGGCGGACAGAAAGAATAAATAGAAGAAACAGGGAAAGAGGAAGAGGAGCAAGAGAACAAGGAGAGGACTCAGGGGAGGAGAGAGAGAGAAGAGTTAAAACAACTTTGTTTCTTACTAATCATCCAGGATTTGGGAGGACAATTGAACAGAGATACCGAAAATCTCAGGGAAGTTGATTTCAGCCAAGAAGTCATCTTAGACATGCCAAGTTCTCCAACAGCAGGAAAACAATGGGGCATCGGAACAACCTCCCCAGGGCAATGGACACCATGAGCTATTTGGAATCATCCTTGATTTGGGAAATAATGATGTTCCCAAAGTAAGTTCCCCAAGAATGTAACTCTGGCAGAGTTTTTTTTACAAAGATCCCCCAAGAAAGAGCTGTGGAGACTCACACAGGCTTCTCACTGAAGAGCGTTTATGGAATATTAGGAAAATAAAGGCTACGTGAGTGAAAACTGAAGGGTAGGAGTTTTAATCTGTACAGTGACACAGGAAAGCTCCATTTGTAATTGTAAAACTCAATAAATGTAAGTGTGTAATAAAGACAATTTTGTAGCCAAATCCAGGACAGTGGTGCACACTTGTCCATCCCAGTACTTCAGAGACTTAAGGACGGAGGATCTTGATTTCTAGGCCAGCCTGCGCTGGACCGTCAGACTCTGTCTCATGTAAACAAGACAAAACATGATGGCCTTCTGTTTTCTCCTATGATTTTTACTTTGAGGATGGGATAGATATGGTTAGGATGAGATATAGGTACATTATTATCTTCTTGTGATTCACCTTAGTGATTATTGACTATAGACAACTTACACTGTTATAGATCCTTGTATGAGGTAACTTACGTATAATTTGTATATCACAAGTCGTCTTACTGTGTAAATTCTTCTCTCTACTTGTGACGATGTATGGTCTTACATATGTTAAGACATTCTGTACACAATTGAGCGGTACAGGTATCCAGGGTCTCCCCCTACAAATAAATAAGTCAGCCAGGTGATGTGATACATGTCTTTACTCCTAGCACTTGGAGACGGAGGCAGGAGGATGTCTATGAGTCAGATGCCAGTATGGGCTGCACAGTAAAACCTCAAAAACCACAAAAATCTCAAAAATAGAAAAAAATCCTTAGAATTTTACTATTTTACTGCATGGTCACAAAGATTATCACTATGAGTAATAGGTAAGCCAGAGAGAATGTGGAGAAATCTGTGGACAAGGCTTTAACCAACGGGCAGAGAGGCTGAACCTCCGTAGATTACACTCAGCATGGCACACAATGGCCATACTGAGGACCCCCAGGGAGGACCCCATACCTGTGCAGAAGGGCAGGAAGGCTCAGGAGCTGGGGCAAGAGGAAGTGCCTTGAAGTCAGGTGGACTGGAGGAAGTCTGGAACAGAGGTACAGATGCTCAGTTAAATTCTAGTTTCTCCCCAAGGACCCCCAACACATTTCACTCAGGAGAGCTCGATGCAGAGCTGTGCACCTGGAGACAGCGGGCACAGCCAGGGGAGTACTGGGTGCCAGTCTACAAGAGAGGTTAGTTAGAAATCCAGTCCGAACCGTAAGACTTTTTGCCTCCTCAATCCAGCTTCCAGAATCTGACATTCAAGCTCATGCCTGTGTAGGATTAATGTAAGGCTGAAACTACATTTCCCAGGATCTTCTTCTCCATATGATTCTAGGCTTCAATCTGGCAGTGAGAAAAACTTGAATCAGATGTAGAATGCCTATATCAAAGTTATTATTCCAAGAGCCAGACATGGCGGTCCACAGTCCCATCTACTATCTGCCACTGGATGGCAGACTCTGCAGTTTCCTGGAACTCCTGAAGCTCTTTGTGATGCAGGCTCAAGACTTGGGTGAGAATTTCTCCAAGGCTCTGGCTGAAGCTTGCAGGACCTCTCTACCAACCCTACACTAGGCTTTATTGTTGTACTATCTGAGGAGTCTGCTGTGCTAACTGCAGCGACCTCTAGGTGAAGACCAAAGAACCTATCAGCACGCAACGGCATTGGGTATCCCCAGCGGGTCCACACTGTAACTTTCCTCCTATGGCTGTAACAAGTCACTATAAACTCTGTCTTCCAAAGACTGTAACTGTGCTGTCGTCTTCCAGCCTCACCGGGTAAAGTCAGGAGTCAGCAGTCCCACTCCTTTCTGGAGGAGATGGTCTGTTATCCTGCCTTTCTTACCACAGAAACGACACTCCACGCCAGGGCCCTCTTACTTCATCCCTAGAGCCGGCCACGTTGGGTCTCTCTACTTTGCTCCATCCTCACATCTCTCTGACCAACAGCCAAGTGGGGGTGGGGGGCTCTGTTTTTAAGGCCAGGTATGACTGAGGAGGCTCCAGGACCAGCAAGGATGCTCTCCCATTTCAAGGTAACTGACCCACCGAGTCTGCTAAGCCCACATAAGGCCACATTTTCACAGGTTAGGACAGGACATTTTTCTTAAGATTAAAAACATAAAAACCTGGTGTGTTTATGCATGTGGGTGCCCAGAAGAGGGTGTTGGGTCCCCTGGAATGGGGGTTACAGACGGTTGTGAGCTACCACACGTATTAGTACTAAGCACCAAATTGAGGTCCTCGGCAAGAGCAGTACATGCTCTGAATTGCTGAGCCACCTCTCCAGCCCCAGGACAGGGACCTCTTTTGTTTGTATGAGAGGACCATTCTTCAATTTAGCATACATGCTGCAATTAGATAGGTCAGTTGAAAAGTCCTGTCAGTGGATAGAGACTTTGACATTTTACTCCTATCCCTAATAGAAACAGCACTGAAGATCCAAGTGAACCCACAACACAAAAGCCAAAAAACCCACAGCACTTGGAAGATTTAGACTCAGTGGAGGGCAGAAAACTGCAAAATGAGAACAAAATCAACACCCTCCACCCCCAGAAATAGCTGTGAAATTACACACAGGGAAAGAATGACATTAAAAACCCACCTTTCTGACATTAGCAGAAAGAAATACTGTTAAGTTTTCAAAGACATGGGGGACTTTTCCCAGAAGTAAAATAGAGACAGAAAGGAGAAGGGATGAGTGAGTGGATCAGTGCAGAATGGAAGAAAAGCTGGTCCCAGGAAGGGAAGCAAAAACAAGGCAAGGGGATTAGAAAGGCAGGAACTTCTGCTAGAGTGGAGAGACTTCACTGATCATGGTAGCGAGGCTGAATGACAACAGCCTCCATGGTGACCTGGGACCACCCACTAAAGAACACTGTGTGTGTGTGTGTGTGTGTGTGTGTGTGTGTGTGTGCACGCGTGTGCACACGCGCGCATGCACGCACGTGTATAACTGTAAGCACAACTGCATGAGTGTTAAAATTGAATCTCCCACTTCCAGAGACAAAGGTTCAGAGATCAGCTCTGTGTTGTTCCAGACAATGAAATCCCAGGGGATTTTCTTTTTCTAACCAGGAATTCCTATCAACAGAGTGTAAAACCTAAAGAAAAACAAAGTCCCAGCAGTCGGCCTTTCCCAGATGACTGCTGAAGGGTGTGTGCACATCTCTGCACAGACACACAGACACACACAGACACAGACACACAGACACACACAGACACACACAAACAGACAGAAGCTGGGGTCAAGAGGGTTAAAGAGCTGAAGATCTGGGATGTGTTAACCCAGGGGAAGAAGCCAGACAGCAGAGAAAGGCATTTATCTAGACCAGGGTGGGAGGACGATGGGCTCCCAGAAACCAGAGCACAACACGGTGACCGCACACTGGTCTGAACACGCTGGAAGGGAAGTCACAGTCCCACAGTCAGGATTAGGAGTGAAGAGTGAAGCATGTGGAAACTTAAAACTTTAAAATGAGATTCATTTCAGAATTTAAATAAGGTTTGTGAAGGAATTCGAGTCTGCATGGGTGGGCTACAAAAAAATCTCTACATATTACTGACACTAGTCCTTTGTCTGTGGGCACATGTGTGTGCGTGTGTATGTGAACCTTGGGTGTTTTCAGGACAGCTATCCGCCTGGTTTTTTGGGATGGGGTTGTTCGCTAGCCCTTGACTTAACTTGGGCTATAATTGAATTGTGGAGGTAAATGGAGTTGGGTGCTTATGGGGGCGTGAGTGTTAAAGCTAAACCCTCACATCCCATGGGGGAGGGAGAAGGGAAGAAAGTCAGAAATCAAAGAACAGCAGCATAACACTTTTAAATGTATGAAACCGGAAGACACAGATGAAAGAGTTTAAGATGCTAATGGGAAAACACAGGCAGGACTGTGGACAGCTAGCTGCTTCTTGCCATGGGGCTCAGTGCTATTCGATATAGTCTGTGGACATGCAACACATGAATCACATTCAAAGATTAAACTTCACAAAAGAAAATCAGGATAATTCAGATGCCAAACTGATAAATATATAAACCAAACATGGTATGCCCATACAATGAAATATTATTAACTCATGAAAAGGAAACAGAGCACTAATGCACAGTACAACGCGGGTGAATCGTGAAAACAGCACACTACGTGAACAAAATTACACAGAATTTCACACAGCATGTGAATGATTCCGTGAAATGTCCAGACTGTATAAATCTGGAGATTTTACTAGGAGTCAGAAGAAGGGAATGGGGGACACGTGCCTGCTGGGTACAGGTCTTCTTTTGAGGTGAGGGGCATTAGACCTTGCTAATCTGACAGTTGTATAACACCATGAATGCCATAAGAGCCATGTATTATATACACTAAAGTGGTTAACTTTGGGGGCTGGAGAGATGACTCAGAGGTTAAGAGCACTGACTGTTCTTCCAGGGGTCCCAAGTTCAATTCCCAGCAACCACATGGTGGCTCACAACCATCTACAATTCAATTTGGTGTCCAATTCTGGCACGTAGGCAGAACACTGTATATGTAATAAATCTTTTTTAAAAAATGGTTAACTCTGTTTTCTGTAACTCTTACTTTACCTTAATAATTAAAATATGTAAAAACACTAATGGATTCTATGTCTGTGGTATACTCCATTTTAATTTCAGCTAAATAAAAAAGTTGCTCAGTCTCAGCAGCAAACACACACTTCTGCTTTACACAGGATGCTGATGGGTGACTCATATCACCAGGGAAATAGGCTGTTTGTGAGAGTCAGGGTAACAGGCTGTGCAATTGTTTGTGTAGAGTCAGGGTAACAGGCTGTGCAGTTGTTTGTGAGAGTCAGGGTAACAGGCTGTGTGGTTGTGTAGAGTCATGGTAACAGGCTGTGCGGTTGTTTGTGTAGTCAGGGTAACGGACTGTGCAGTTGTTTGTGTAGTCAGGGTAACGGGCTGTGCAGTTGTTTGTGTAGTCAGGGTAACAGGCTGTGCGGTTGTTTGTGTAGTCAGGGGAACAGGCTGTGCAGTTGTTTGTGTAGTCAGGGGAACAGGCTGTGCAGTTGTTTGTGTAGTCAGGGGAACAGGCTGTGCAGTTGTTTGTGTAGTCAGGGGAACAGGCTGTGCAGTTGTTTGTGTAGTCAGGGGAACAGGCTGTGCAGTTGTTTGTGTAGTCAGGGGAACAGGCTGTGCAGTTGTTTGTGTAGTCAGGGGAACAGGCTGTGCAGTTGTTTGTGTAGTCAGGGGAACAGGCTGTGCAGTTGTTTGTGTAGTCAGGGGAACAGGCTGTGCAGTTGTTTGTGTAGTCAGGGGAACAGGCTGTGCAGTTGTTTGTGTAGTCAGGGGAACAGGCTGTGCAGTTGTTTGTGTAGTCAGGGTAACGGGCTGTGTGGGTTGTTTGTGTAGTCAGGGTAACAGGCTGTGCAGTTGCTTGTGTAGTCAGGGTAATGGGCTGTGCAGCCATTCTGAATAGGCACCATCTCACCCAGGTGGGACAGAAACGAACTATGAACAGACCTCAGAATGTAGCGCACAGTTACGGGCTGCCCGTGCTGCACTTGAACACCACCAGCGGCTTGTTTGCTTTTTCGTGTAACACACAGGAGCACGGGAAACTTGGATTTGAGTTCTGGTGAGGGGGTCTAATGAGGGAGGGAGCTTCCTGTTTTGTTTCCTTTTTGGATTAAATTTCATTTCCCTCTCCTTGGCATCCTCCTATCTACAATATCTTCCCTTGCTGTTCAGTTATTAAAAATCAGACGAACAGAGAAGAGCCTAACCTCAGTGTCAACAGCAAAGCAAACTTCAGAGACTCGGATTTGTCTGTTCATTTCAGAGTCCAGATTTGATTTGATTTCTTTCTTTCTTAATTTCTTCCTTCCTTCCTTCCTTCCTTCCTTCCTTCCTTCCTTCCTTCCTTCCTTCCTTCCTCCCTCCCTCCCTCTCTCTCTTTCTTTTTCTTTCTTTCTTTCCAGTTTATTTCAGGTTTCAGTTGACCAAGAAAAAATTTAAAACCCCATCTCACTTAAAATTTTTAGATCTACCCAAAGCTTAGTCAGTTGTATGACTCATCTGATTTTTCTCATTTTTAAGTGCCTCTTGGAAATGTTACAAATACCACAGTGTAGGCATGTCTAACCTGTGGTCCATGGGCCACACACGTCCCAAAATAGCTATGGATGATGTCTAACACATAAGCATCCTAGGAAATTATTCTCTGCAATTCCACTCTAACGTGTTCTCTAATGCAGTGAACTCTGTAGATGACAACATTGCTTTGCGATGTCGAAAGGCTGGGCACACCCAACAGGGGTAGATTGTCACAGAGATTGCAATACCTGGAAGTGTTTCAATCATGCAGCTGTAGTATGTGACAAATTTTCTCTAAAATCCTGGTACATGGAAGGTCTTCCCTTCTAGAGTCATGTTGCTCACACCTGACAGAGAAGCTCAAAACAGTAGTCAGATTCTCAGAACCTGAAGCCCACATCTGCTCTCAGGAGCTCAGGGGAGAAGCCACCAGCAGTGCCCTGCTGGGACAGCCATGCCGTGTGAGGGCGCCACAGCAACACGGACCAGTGCACCTGTGATCTAGGGGCAGGAGAGTCCTGGAGGACCTGGTCTGAGGAGGACGGAAGGACACCTCTGGGCAGAGGGGCACTGTGCACACACATGCACACACACGCGTGCACACACACATCTAGCTCCCCACCCTGTGTCTTAACTTGGAGACAACAACATTCCCAGAGTTTTTCAGGGGGGTTGAAAGGCAGTAAGTGGGCAGGAGAAAGCAGGTAGAGGTTCCGGGTGGTTAGAGTGTTCGGTCTTTTCAGGGCAGATAAGAGCCAGTGGTCTTCCAATGCTCCTTCATGTGGCTGTGGGTAGAGCTACTGGTGACATCAGCACCTGGGGCAGGAGAGAAGTGACAACCTAGGAGGTGTAGCAGCTGGCCTCACTCCTGCTCCTGGACCTAGAAAAGTCAGTAAGTTTTTACCAAGCATCCTTTGCTAAGGACATTTCAAAAGTAGAAACTCCCGCTTTCTTCACTCTGCTTATTCCTATGCCTGTTAATTTAGTTGAGTCACAGACATAAGCCTAATTAGTTAGCTGAACTGTTTGCTACATTTACCTTTTAGCCTTCCTGAGTGTGGGCAGCTAACCATGCAATGGCCAGTGTATGGCTGTCCCCAGGTGAGCTAATAGAAGCTTCTAGAAGTAAACTGAACTTCCTCCCTGCTCCTCTCAAATTGGCTTGGCCAGTCACTGGTTTTGCTCTTTGTTCCTCTGGTTTTCCACCAAACCCGCAATGTAGTAAACAGATTCTTTAAGATGTAACCTCCAGCACTGCCTGAATCATTAACCACTTGTTACTTTAACATGTGTCCTGACACTCAAGTTAACAGAAAGAAGAAAAGTGCCTCAGTTTTCTTGGTATTTGTTTCCTTATCCCCTTACCTATGGCCCCGAAGTCAGCAGTAAGTTCCTCTTGTGCCAGTCAGCTGCATGATGCTTGTCCCCAATCATTATAACCGATTTCAGATGGTGCTAGAAAATTCTATTGACTCTGAACACCAAAAGAAATCAGTCATCCTCTAAGGGGTGACAAGAGGTCGTGTGGATTGGAAAGGCCTTCAATCTGTCACATGGAGGGCTCTTCTTCATCCAGACGTGAGTCTGTTTCCAGAGGAGACTTATTACATAAACAAGTATAAAATTCTAACGACTGATGTTTAATTAGCTACACCCAAGCAAGCTTGATGTCAGCAGGGCAAGGGCAAGGATCTGGTAGCCTATTTTCCATTCTGGATACTTCAGGACTGTAGCACTCTGTGGTTGGCAGCGAAGTTGTTCTCCACCAAGAACACTGATTTCAAATGGTGCTAGACAATCACTATTTAAATCTAAACCACCATATGAAACCAGCTTCCTGAAGGAGCTTGATTGTCTGTTTTCACGATCTTTCAACAATCTCCAGACAGCCTACAAAGGGAAAAGTTGAAGTCTGTGTGTTACTTGCCAGTTTCAGGTGTTCATCCAGCTGGAGGTGGGGGTGGGGTATGTCAGCCGCTTACTGCATTGTTCCTCATTGATAAAACTGAGCCTTCAACCCGAGCCCTGAACTCTCCTGAGGTCTTGGTACCAGCAGCTGTGGGCACTATGGGAAGCTTGCATGTTACTGAGTGAGGCAACGCACCAGAGATGAAGACAATAAATACGGTGCTTTTTACTGCCACATCATTCCATTAGAGTCAACCAATGAGTGCAATTTGTGATTCTGAGGAGCACAAAAACTGGACAGCTCAAAGGCGAAGCCACACCCACTGGGGGTGCTAATGTGACCCCGCCCCCTTCTTCCAGAATAGGTTTGTTAGAGTGCTGCAGTGAGTTCAGGCCTTGCCTTAACATTCAATTCTCCCCCAGAAGTTAAGGCTTTGAGTCTTACATCTCTGACAAATTATCACTACTGTAATTATTTTAAACAGGTTCTCACCAGGTAGCCCCGGCTGTCTTGGAACTCTCTGTAGACCAGGCTGGCCTCTTAACTCAGGAGATTTGCCTGCCTCTGCCTCCTGAGTGTTGGGATTAAAGCTGTGGCTACCACACTGGGTTATTTTTGTGTAGCTCTTGACATGGTCTTTCTAGGCAGTTTGCTGTCAATCTTTTTAGAGTGTCAAGGATCCTAACTCCCGCATCCACACTCTTTAAAACTATTGGGGAAGATTTCAGATGTAAAATGTTAATTTACTTTCTTTAAAAATAGGTTTTTATAGGAACATTGTTACCTTTCCTTTTAAAAAATGTACAGAACTGGAATAGAATTAATACCATTTTCCCTTCTCTCAACCCCTTCTGTTCATTCTCAAATCTTAGACATTTTTATTAAGAATTTATTTATTAATTAAATATATGGTGTTCTGCCTGCATGTATGCCTGCACACCAGCAGAGGGCACCAGATCTCATTACAGATGGTTGTAAGCCACCATGTGGTTTCTGGGAATTGAACTCAGGACCTCTGGAAGAGCAGCCAGTGCTCTTAACCATCTCTTCATCCCTCATGCATAGTCTGTTGTAAAATGCTGTTTAACCCCCCCCACCTAGCTCTCTTCCTCTCATCCTAAATACATGAAATACAACTTGCTCAGTCCATATATGTTACTTTTATGTTTATGATTTCAGGACTGACCACTTGGTATTAATTTTCAATTACAGTAAAACAAATTCCTGCATTTGTGGCTTCTGAAGTCAACTGAGCATTTTGATTTAGATATGATAATTTACATATAATCTACCACTTGAAACAAACAAAAACCACAACAACCTTAAAACACCGAACACACACTTGGGATGGCCAGAATTCCACCCTCCTTCAAAAACAGACCCCTAAGCATCTCACAGCCCACCAGCCACAAAAATGGGAGCCGCCTGATTCACAAGCCACCCTGCATGCCTCACGCTGCTTCTGAACACACTGGCCTCCTGGGCACTTCTTCCAAATCTGATAGCGAAGTTGGGACCTGGAGTGAGTCAGTAACCCACAGCAGGACACGTGTGTGGCAAAGCCGGGCCGTAGATGCATACTACTCCCACTGATGTGAGAGGCCAGTCTGTTCTTGCGTGAGCAAAGTGGATTAAGATGACTTCCCTCAGGGCGTCAGGGTTGCACAAGAAGGAGACCATCCAGAACTGACACCTCCTGGAGAACACAGCTTCAAAATGTTAGCGACTCTAGGACTCAGCAAGCCAGACCACAGGGGCTGTGTCACTGTGGTAGCCTTGCTCAGCCTCCCGTGATGCCTTCGGTCCGTGCGATGAGCAGGATCTGGCTCTGCTGCTCACCTGCTATGTAGTCTTGAGTAAAGTAATTTGATTTCCCTATCAGAAAGAGGTACTGAGTCCTATGTGGTGGCAGTTAGGTTGATGTGTCGGAACCCTGGACCGTGTTCTCAGGAAGAAGGTCAGAGTGAACAAGGAGAGGGAGGAAGGGTATTGAGAGAAATACTCGCAGCATACATACACCTTTGGGATGCTTACTCTGGCCTATGCTGAGACACACTCTGGACATTCAGTCACCTGGACATAAAGATTCGGGTGTGTTGATGAGGGACAATGCAGTCAGGGTATGGTCCTAAAGCTTGTAAATGGTAGGTCTGGGCTCTATTTAGCTAGCCTGATCCCAAGCCACCGGGGCTTTGCTGCCTTATAGTTACTGTAACTGCTCATCTTCCCTTGATGTGGGAATATCCACTAATTCCAAATCCAGGGGTTGGCCAGTGAGCACATACGCACCCATTAACACCAGCTCTGGCCCCAATTCACAGAAACCCTCCAAACCAGTCACCTGTGGGAAGGAAGACCTAGAAATTGATAAGATTTGATCACATAAAACAGTCAAAGATTCTCAATCACACATCTGACTTGCAGTGGGTCCTTGAGCATACCCCATCTTCTCTGTAGCCTTGTCCCCACTGACCTTAGGTAGCTCAAGTGAAGGGTACATCATGTCTGGCCCCAGATCGTATCTTATACATGAGGGTAAAATAATGTCTTCTCCCCAAAGCCTCCCGTTTCTACCAGGCATTCAGATGGTGATGAGGGTGAGACAGACTTGTGGAGCCAAGACCAGCTCTGCCCCTGCTCCCTGCAGAACCCTAGGTTAGCTAACTCCAACTCTTTATGCCTCGGTCTCCTCTCTGTACAAAGGTAATTACCTGACCCACCACACCAGAGTTATGTGACAGTAAAGCAGATATTTGAGATGACTGTAAAGCAGTATATGACCTTTTCTTTGTACCGTAACAGAGAGATGTGACTAAGAGGTCTGCCTCAGCTCACAAATGAGAAGGCATACAAGGATGCATTTAAAAAGGTTCCTTTGGGTCTCCGAATGGAGCACCTCTCTCCCACCACACTGGAATGAGCACTGCAATATATCCTTAGTACTTTTCCATTCGAAGGCCTGGTGCTGAAGAGCAGGGGTTTATGTAATTCTTTCCTGATCGTGAACTGGCAGCGGGTATGTAGAAGAAGAATAGACCCCATGCCGAAGGTCACTTAGAAAAACTTACTGGGGACTCACTCATGAACAAAGCATGCCCTCTACTTCCACAGGGCCACAAAGGCTGCCTGCTAGCATGAGTTTTCCAGGCACAGACCTGCTGGGGAGGCCCTTCTTTAGAGGGCCAGTGTGGCGTTGCAGTGACTTGAACCTCAGGATGCATTCCAGGGAGGCCACAGAGTGAGTGTTTCCCTTTGTAGCCTAAGCTTCCTCTGCTCCCTTTATTCAGACACCTTCAGAACATGAACTCTTAAGGTCCCTTCTTTTTCCTGCTTAAGACACATAGCTGGGAAACTTCCTGTCACTCCAGGCACTACTTTGCACTGGAGCACGGTCTGTATTTGGAGACGGTGGGGGAGGGGATGGCTGTAACTAAGGAACCAGCCCCTTGGCCTTCCATTTTGCAGATCAGAAGGTATGTGCTATGCAGGATGGCTTAGGAACTGCAACATGCAATAAACCTGTAAATCCAATAGAGCAGGAATGGAGGAAATCGCCCTGCACAGGTTAGGAGGTGGTTTCTATTTTCAAGGCTTGGGAGTTTGTGATCCCCAAGTTTTAGCAATGCATGCTGCTGCAGAAGGCCCACAGACAGAGCACCTCACTACATGTCTCAGAGTATAGTCATCTTTGATCACTTTAAGGCCAGGCCGCAGGAATCTGGAACTCAAACTACATTATACTCTACTCTTTCCTACGTGGTCTCACTTTAAAACTCAAAGTCCCTTTCACTAGACAGGGAGCCAAGGGCGTAGACGCTGTCATTTCCAAAATATTGATCACTCAAGTTAATAAACTGAGAATGCTGTCCCAGCAGGCCCATGCAGGATACTTTACAAGGGACTTAAGACCTCAACAAAAAAGAGGCCCAGTGACTCAGCAGTCAAGTTTCCAACAACTGCAATTTTGAAGTTAATGATTGCTACGCCCCCAGTGGAACCTGGAAGAGCAAAAGCCTCAGAGCTTATCATCAAACCAGGATGGTGTGGGCCAACCTTCAAGCGGGCCAGACTGGCAGAGAGCCACCTGTGGACCACAGGTCAGGCCCAACACAGCTGTCTTCCTATTATAAGCATTATCTCATTGTCCAAAGCGGCAGGTTTTGTTATGCCATCTCCACACACTTGTGACAACAAGTATTGGACCAATGTTCACCATCATTACTCACTCACCTTCTCTCCTTCCTTCCTTGGTCCCTATCCTCTTCCCAAACACTTCCCCTTTCTCTTTTTGTGTCTCTTATGTAAATGTATAGATTACATCAGTGATTTTTGTTTTTTCCAGACAGGGTTTTCTGTGTGTAGTCCTGGCTGTCTTGGATCTCAGAGGATCCTCCTGCCTCTGCCTCCCCTGTGCTGGGTTTTAAAGGTGTGTGCCACCACACCTGGTTGTTTTATTTAGATTCCATATAAGAAAGGAAACATGAAGTATGATATATCTTTCTGAGTTTTTTTTTTTCACTTAACACAACGACCCTCATGTCCTATCTATTACCCTGAAATGTCCAAGGTTTCTTCTTCTTCTTGTAGCTTATACTCT